TCAAAGGTTATAGACAAAAGGAAGGCCTTGAATACTTTGACACTTACTCACCAGTAACGAGAATAACATCTATTAGGGTGCTAGTGACACTGGCAGCCGTGTATGGTCTTGAAATCCATCAAATGGATGTTAAAACAACTTTCTTAAATGGAGAATTAGAGGAAGAAATTTACATGGAACAACCTGAGGGTTTTGTGGTTCCGGGTAAAGAAAAGAAAGTATGCAAACTTGTCAAGTCTCTTTATGGACTTAAACAAGCACCCAAACAATGTCATACCAAATTTGACCAAACAGTATTGGCAAGCGGGTTTAAATCAACGAGTGTGACAAATGTGTTTACATTAAAAACACTCCAGGTCATGAAGTCATTATTTGTTTATATGTTGATGACATGTTGATAATGAGCAAAAATATGGCAGATATAAATGCTACTAAGTGCATGTTGGCTAGCAAATTCGACATGAAAGATTAAGGAGTTGCTGATGTGATTTTAGGAATCAGAATTCAAAAGAATCCACAAGGTCTAGCATTATCACAGTCTCACTAAATTGAAAAAGTACTTGACAAATTCAAGTATTTGGATTTCAAGATTGCCAAGACTCCAATTGACGTGAGTTATGCACTTCAAAAGAATGAAGGTGAAAGTGACTCACAATTGGACTATGCAAGAGTATTGGGAAGTTTGATGTATATCATGAATTGTACGCGATCAGATATAGCATGTGCTATTAGAAAACTGAGTTGGTTTACAAGTAATCCCAATCAAATACATTGGATGGCAATGAAACGAGTTTTTGGGTATCCGAAACATATTCAAGATTATGCTCGGCATTATGACAAATATCCCTCCGTGATCAAGGGATATAGTGATTCAAATTGAATCATCATATCATCTGAAGTTAAATCCACGAGTGGATATGTTTTCACAATTGGGGGTGGAGCATTGTCTTGGAAATCATCCAAACAAACATGCATCGCCCGTTCTACAATAGAATATGAATTCATAGCTTTAGACAAGGCCGGTGAAGAAGCTAAATGGCTCTGGAATTTCTTGAAAGATATTCCATTTTGGCCCAAACCTTTAGCACCTATATGTATACATTGTGGTAGTCAAGCGGCAATAAGCGGGGCAGGGAGCGTTATGTAAGCGTTATGTATAACGGAAAATCTCGTCACATTCGACGGAGACACAATACCGTTAGACAACTACTCTCTAGTGGTGTTATCACGATAGACTACGTAAAGTCAAGATATAACGTGTCGGATCCACTTACAAAAGGCCTATCTAGAGAGGCAGTTGAAAGATCATCGAAGGGAATGAGGTTAAGTCCTAGGACAAGTCATCATGGCGGTAACTCTACCTAGCAGACTGGAGATCCCAAGAGCTAGGTTCAAAGAGATCAAACAAAGTTATGAATGACGGTTCAACATTGTCAAATAACTCAACCCATTCTCGTGATGAAGACAACGTTCAGAAATCGAGGTAAAGCATTAAGGTTTTTTGATGAGTCAATAAAGCTTAAAGTTTTTTAATGATTTGCTAAGTCTAGCAGGATATGACCAAATAGTATGTCTATAAGATTACACGTTTAGAAATCACGTATGTGAGTGTGAAGTGTAAGTCGCTTCAAGGGGAATGAAAGTAAAGGCCCATTCTCTAAGCACTCATGAAACCAGGCGGTGTTCATGGCTGAAACGAACACAATCGTGATAAGCATAGATGGTTAAGGGTTGATTGTGTGACTTGTGTTGTCTAGGTATACAACAAAGCTCGACGGTTCAAAGATATCAAATCTACCGATTGACCGAGTATATCCGATATAAGTTTACTACGAAAAGTTCAAAGGGAAACCTATTTATCTAGATACAATTAATTCTTACATGTAAATCACACACTCGTCCGTGCATTCCTTTGTCTTATAGCGATTCCCCATTCATGTGGGGGATTGTTGGGTTTTAACTTGGTTAGCTTAAAATAAAGAGTGAATGGCAAACGGATGGAAAAAAAATCTTTGAATTTCCCTCCTTGACAAAGGGATATTGTCCCATATTGGAGGAAGAAAAGACTTTTGATGGGTATATATACAATTGCTCTTCTTCTCTTAAAGAGTTAAGAAGAAGGCAAGCCTCGCGCCGTCGTTGTCGTCGCTCGCTCGGCTTCGGCTTCGGCTTCGGTCAAAGATTGATTGATTAATCTTTTTGGACATCTTTAATTATTTAATAAAATATTAATTATATTATCCAAATACCCAACCCGAACCGGATCCGTGCGGGACCCGATTCACTTTCTTCCCGGGTTTTTATTTAAATTTCCCTCCCTTTTTTAAGTGACTTTTCGGAAGGATTGTGAACTTTTAGAAACAGTACTTCCATTGGCTATAAATTCGTTTGATTCCCGGATTTTTCCTTACGAATTTTCTAAACTTCAAGACCTCTTCTTCTTCTGCACAAATCTACTCCAGTGTGATTGACTACCATTGAGTGGTTCGCTGACACCGTGATTTTTGGTACCAATACATCGGTGAGTTAAGTCGTTCTATCCTGGGAAGATAATATTCCAGCACCTCGGGTACTTGAGGGGAATAATTTCCTTAAGAACACACTATACATTCAGCGGACTCGATTTATTCCGAAATTAATTTTTCCTATATTATTTCGACATTCTGTTGCTGCTAACTTTTTGTTTCTGTTTAAGAAAGTTTACTGTTTCATTATTTATTATAGTAATACATATTGTCTAACAGAGAGTTTACGGATTGTGCAAGACGATCTCTTTGTGAATATCTCAAGAATTTAGGAACTTTTTCGAGATAGGTAGAACTATTCAAATCCAAAAACAACCATATTTTTTCGAGTTCAAATTCAGTGATCTGTGTTATAAAAATTACGAAGAGTTTTGTGATTGGCCGTTCAATTACCAAATCATAGCAGGAATCTCGCCGGGAAAAGGTTGAGCATATCCCCATCACGTGCGGTCTATGAAATTTAACACAAATTTCATAGTAATGTAGTACGTTAGTTTCATTTCTTCCAATGTCATCTCACCTCATCAACATTAATATATAAGCTTTCTTTACTACCAAACAAAAATAATATCTTTTGTATATTCACTTCCATGACGACTAGCTAGGTCCTTAGCTATATATGACTAATAATTTAACTGTTAACATATCTCACTTCTCTCTTAATCATGTAGTATTATTTTATTACTCAAATAACGTGTTGGATCTTGGCCTAGTTTATTTTCTTTTAAATATTAATGTTCAACTCATTCTTTATCATGCGAGTACCCACCTCAATTAATTTACCAAGTTCCAATTAGTATCGTTTACCAGAATATGTACTTACTAGGTAATTTTACTCATATAAATAAGAAAAAATCATCAAATATCTTTTTTATCTCACTAGAGTTGAACCTTCATCTCTCGTGATTTTCACTCGTTTCATTCTATAGCTTATTTTTGATATATCATCTACACTCTTCCGGCCATGATCTTTTCATGGCTTCTTCACTGTTGTATTTCCTTTTATTACTCTCGGGATTTTGTTTCCTTGAATTGAGGGTCTATCGAAAATAGTCTCTCTATCTTCACAAGGTAAGGATAAGGTCTGCGTACACATTATCCTTCCCAAACTTTACTTGTGGATTATACTAGAATTGTTGTTATTATATTTTCCGGTCAACAATACGATGCTATGTCAAGCTAGTAGCCTCTAGTATCTACCTAGCTAGAGTAAAAAAGGTGATGAAGATCTAAGATTTTCACGAAAACCGTGAAATTGACTTAAATTTTCAACAGACGCTATTTGAGTATTTGTCATGTTAGTAAAATTGATGTGGGGCAGTTTGGGGGTGTAAGTAAGAGTTGAGGAAAGATGTTAATATTAAAATGAAAAAGAGATAATATAAAGATAACATGGGCTTGCGTGCTACTACTGACACAAAAGAGGCCCCAAAGTTGGCTGATAAACTAAGGCCAAATTATCTCGTGTGTCCACTCCCACTTGACTTTGTAATCTTAACCCCAGTTTGGGAGACATATCGAGAAGGATGGTATGGTTTACCCCTTTCTAAAAGAGGGAGAGATGAGCAATCCACTATATAAAATGAGAGTACAAAATATCGAGAGAACAACCTTACGAAGAGGCAAACACAAGTGACACACTAACACTTGTTCCGTAAAATTCTCCCCCTAAACAAGACTCTCAAACCACATATGACTACATTGTGGATGCTACTGAATGAGAAGGAAGGATCCTCAATTTATAAAAGTCCAAACTTTTTCCTACAAGAAAAAGGACTAGCCAAATATAGGAGATTTGTAATTTCCTTCTACAAGAAGGAAAACCCAATTAATGTAAACATATTGCCCTTTCCTTCAACAAATAGAAAAATCAAATATGGTAAGAAAATTATGACAAACACCTAACACTAGCTTTATAAATCGTTAGCCCTTTATCGTATAGAAGGAAAGCGTAATCTAAACACCTTAGAGAGCGCATAAACTGTAAAAACAAAAACCTAGTCGTTCTTGTATAGCTGAAGCGGAAGACTGAATGATCTGCAGCTGAAATTACTGATCAATAGTGGTTGTCAATGTGTGTTGGAGAAATCTTCAATATCACAGTCTAACCCCTAATCTGATTTTAGGAGAAGAGGGCGTTGGAAAAATACTACATACAATATATTTAATTTTACACTATAAATATCTATATATAGGAAATACTAGGATTAACTTTAATCATCCTAATAAGCCTTAAAGCACCTCTTATGCGTGGACCCATATTTCATTACTTTCGAATCGAACTACATGCATATTCAAATAAAGTTCATATATTTGTGAAAATAGAAAAATAGTGAAATATAGTTGTGATGCTTAATACTCATTAATTAAAAATCTTAAATTCACTTATGCTCACATCACAAAAGGACCCCATCATATCCCACCTCCCCCTAAATTCATCTCATTGATTAACTCTCTATTTCTCTATATTTCAAACTCTCTATTTAAAAACAAGAATAGCCCACTGCTTTATCCCATGCACTTGTCTTCTTCACTTCCAACACTCCTACCTTAGTGTTTTGTTTTTTTAATTTCTTGTTCATACCTCCCTTATCTCTCTGTCCATAACTTGTCTCTTTAACACAGTTTATCTTCAATTCTTGATCTCTTCTTCTTATATATTTTCCATTCCCCCCTCATCACTCCACAGAACTCATTACACATTCATTTCAATATTCTATCTGACAACTCCCATTTTCTTGCCTTTTGTCTTTCTTTTTTTGACAATTTCCTTTTCTTACTTTCCCTGACAATGTCAAGCAGAAGATCACGTTCTAGACAATCTTCAGGAGTTTCCAGAATAAGTGATGATCAAATCGCCGATCTCGTTTCTAAGTTACAACAACTTATTCCTGAAATCCGTAATAGGCGTTCTGACAAGGTAACCACGAAAAATTATTTACACTGTCAGTGCACGTAACATAAATTTATTTTTTACTATACTTGTTTGGTCTTTTTTCTTATCTTCTTTTAATTTATTACTTCATCATATATATATGTGTGTGTGGGTGCAAATATATGAGACGCATTTCCAAGAAACTTCCCATATTTTGTGTGGCCTTTCTTTTCCTCTTAGAGATAAGTTTGAGGGTGACATTTTCATGCCCACTAGTTAGCCCACAAGTCCTCATTAATTTCAAGTCAAAATGTAGTTGTTTTGTTTGCTGCCATTCTTTTATTTTTTCCTCAATAATATTTCATACAGAAAGAAAGAGCGCAAAGTCCCGACCTAACATGTAAGTAATTAATTGATCTGCTGACATAAAGCAAGGAGTTGAGCCTGAACTGTGTTCAATTATACAACAATAGCTTTCTTGAACAGGGATATAGAAAGAAGCCAATAGCCGACAGGCTTGCCAGCAGACTTGCTTGACCTATTGGATTACCAATATAGGGTTTTTACTGCCAACAAGATCATATGGAGCCCCTTCTGAATTGGTTTATGATTCGAAAGTTCTTGCGAAAAGATTAAGATGTAGACCTCATATGGGGCAGCTATAATATTTTTAAGAATAAGATGTTGCTTCCACGTAAAAGAATTTTACAAAAGCTGACATCCGGAGTGCGTGATAACTACATAATATCCTTAGTCCATTCTTTTTAAGATATCAAAATGGAATTAACTGTTGTAATTTCGGACACATTGTTACCTCAATATAGATTGTTGGTTGAAAGTCACCTATATATGCACCATTTTCCCTACATTTAAGTTCTTTTGTGTTAGAGTAAGAAAAAGGGTGATCAAATTTAGCTAGTTTCTAACATTTTTTATGCCTTTGTTTTATTAAATCAAACAGGTTTCAGCTTCAAAAGTGTTGCAAGAAACTTGCAACTATATAAGGAATTTACACAGAGAAGTGGATGGGCTAAGTGAGAGATTATCACAGCTTTTGGAATCAACTGAAAGCGACAGTGTTCAAGCTTCTATTATTAGAAGCTTACTTATGTGATGATAGCAACTTCAGCTAGTAGCTATATATTAGCTCAACTTCTACTTGATTAAAATTTCTATTAAGATGCAGCAGTTATTATTTATTAATTAGGGTTTTGGCCACTAGGTCAAAGTAAGAGAGGGACCATGTACTTTGGCTCCATTCCAAGGGGTTTTTTCTCGTTTTTTTTTCTTCTTTTTTTTTTTTTATAATTTCCATCCGATGTCCAGTGCCTGTTTTGGGGCCTGACTAATTCGGATTTGCGTTGTGCTTAGACTAGCTAGCATTAGCAAGCTATGTCACATATATAGATTTAAAATAAGAGAGACATCTCTTTATCTACTTAGATTTGCCATTTTTTTTAATATATATTAGAGTAGTATTTAATTTACTGATGTTGTATTGTTGTATCCATCCATTTTAAGAGCTGATGCTAGTTTGATCTCAGCCTTAATTTGTTAAGTATATAAGTATTCAAGATATTTTTATCATCTAGTATCGTGTTATCTTCTATTTTTCTCTCATTTATTAAGGTTTATGAGCAATGTGTGCAGCTGTTGAATTGTGTTATAAGTTTAACAGTAAGAAAGAGCATGTTTTTATTTATTTAATTGTATTTTCAACGTACAACAACTTAGCTGTATCATGTGTCCGATATTTCAAAATAATTAACCATACTGAACTATGAGGAATGAATGGACTTAATTTACACTTGAACTTCTCTAAGGAGTATTAAAGTTCATGTCCAAATTAAATAGAAACTGATATTACTTGTTTCTATTGTTTCTTTTCGTCTTTCTTGAACCGGGGTTCTATCGGAAACAACCTCTCTACCTTCCTAGGGTAGGGGTAATTAAGCTGTGTATACACACTACCCTACCCTACTTGTGGGACTCCAATGGGTTTATTATTATTGTTGACCAAATAAAAATTCAACTTCTAAATACTATTTTTCAACTTCAACGTAATTTCAAATATTTGTTTTCAACTTCAACCAAATATTACTCCAAAAGTTCCTGAAACTGTCACATATATAGGATAGTAGAGCATGTCCAATTTATATTTTGAATGATAGGGTATGTAAATGGTATTTGGTGAGCCCTAGTCATTTTGTTAATACTAATATAAATCAGGATGAAATGTGAACCAAAAAAACTGTCCTATCAATAAATCAGTTGGATCCTTTTCCTGATTCTCTTCTTGTCTAAAAAATGTCTTACTCGTATTGAAAGATAGTTCACACATCTCGTTGAATCAGTCTTTTCCACCAAATCGAACCCCCTCTATTGTTGGCGGGCAAATGTCCCAAATCCTTTTTTGGCCCTTAATTTCTTGTTTTATTCTCGAGAAGGATCTTTATTAATGTTTAAGAATTGATTAGTTTCCAAACTCTCCGTCGGCAATGTATATTAGTGGGCGTTTGGACATAAGAATTGTAAAATTTAAAATAAATAAATAAAAAAGTAAAAAACATTTTAAATGGAAATGGTATTAGAAAATTAGAGTTGTGTTTGGACATAAATATAATTCTGGGTTGTTTTTTGAATTTTTGTGAGTGATCTGAGTGAAATTTTGAAAAACAGCTTTTTGGAGTTTTTCAAATTTTCGAAAAATTCCAAAATTCATTTTAAGTGAATATTGAAAATTTTATGGCCAAACAGTAATTTCAAAAAATAAGTGAAAATTTTTCAAAAAAAGCGAAAAAATTCATATGTCCAAACGGGCTCTTAATATCTCGAAAATTTCCTAGAGGAACAGACCATTTGACTCTCATAATGAAATTTTCCAAAGGAGATCTTCTGTTTCTATTTTGTTTCTTTTATTATCTTTTTGTAATGATGAAAGACCTACCATGCCCTTCTAGTATGTTATTTTTAATCTGAAAAAGTTTCATTAGTTATTTTTTATATGTGGAATTTAATACAAGCTTTTTTGTGGTTAGCTCAAAAATTACACGGGGCGCCCTATTTGATCGCCCCCATTTAACTTATACCCATATTTTAAAAATTATTTAATCTATACGCTAATTTTTACAACTTCAGGCGTCTCCTTCCTGCTACATGTGTGCTCCTTTCTTCCTCCTTTCTTTTCCTCCTCTTCTTCTTCTTTTCTCTCTCAAACACATGAGACTCTATCTTGATTGAAGAACACCAGTTTCTTGTGAATCTACAAGTACAACTGGCCTTGTTGTTGCAAATTTCTTTCACAAAATTTTTTTCTAATTAAACTCGTCTGCTACGCATTTCCTTGATTAGCTTTAGATCCTTAAGTGTGATCAACTGACTATTTATGAGAGAGATTTCTAGCCTGTTTGGCCAAGCTTTTTTTGGGCCAAAAGCGCTTTTTTTTTGCCAAGCTTTTGGAAGGAAAAAAAGTGGAGAAGTAGAAGCAGTTTTTGAGAAGCAGAAAAAAATAGTTTCTCTCCAAAAGCACTTTTCTGAGAGCACTTTTGAGAAAAATACACTTAGAAGCAGTTTCCAAAAGCTTCGCCAAACACTAATTACTGCTCCAAAGTACTTTTCAAATTAATTAGCCAAACACAAGCCTGTTTGGCCAAGCTGGAGAAATCAACTTATTTTGAGAAGTGCTTTTTTTAAAAGTGCTTTTGAAAAAAGTACTTTTGAAGAGAAGCAGTTTGTGNTTTTGAAAAAAGTACTTTTGAAGAGAAGCAGTTTGTGTTTGGCTAATTACTCTGAAAAGCACTTTTGAGCAATAATTTGTGTTTGGCCAAGCTCTTCAGAAAGTGCTTTTAAGTATCAAATTACAAATAAGTCAAATAAGGACATGAATAGATTTACTTTATAGTTAATATTATAAGTAAATAAATAATCTCAAAAAATTGTTATTACATGCAATAATTAAATCTTTTCATTTTATTTAAGTAAAATATGAAAATAAAATTAAAAAGTACTTAATTCTTTTAATATAAGTTAAATATATTAAAAATCATTCAACAAGTATAAAAGCATTCACCGCTAAAGTCACTATATATTAGAAAGCTATCCTAAAAATAAGAAGAAATATTTATATATTAATATCCTAAGTATTAGGTTTAACGGTTATTTTGGTATATACTATATTTTGTTAAGGGCATTTTTGGTAAGAAGAAAAGTCAAAACTGCTTCTGCTTCTGCTTTTGGGAAGAAGCTACTTTTTTCTGCTTCTCAGAAACTGCTTCTACTTCTTCCCAAAAGCACTTTTTTTCCTCAAAAAAGCTTGGCCAAACACCTCAAGTTAGGGAAAAAAGTGCTTTTGGGAAAAAAAAGCACTTTTGGCCTCTTGAGAAGCTTGGCCAAACAGGCTAACAATTTGCTTCTCACCAAAACTACTTTTTCTTAAAATTACTTTTGAGAAAAGCACTTCTCAAAATAAGCTGATTTTAGAAGCTTGGCCAAACAGGCTATTCAACGAAAATCAAACTCCATAAATTTCAGAATAATTGCATCCAAACTAAAAACAGGCTCCTTATGTTGGTGATTCAATTAATTATCTATGAGAAACTTTAGCCGGAAAGCAAAGTTAAATAAGTTTCAAATTAATTATCTAATCAACATCGGCTTCTAATTTTGGTGATTGATTTTCGTTTGCCATGAATTATGAAGCAGATAAGAGTTAAACATACTGAAGTTCAGCAAATATAGAACAAAACTTCAGCTAAAACATGCTGAAGTTCAGCAAATAGAGAACAAAACTTAAGCTAGTAGAATGCTTAAGTTCAGCAATTACAAACAAAAACTTCAGCTAACATGCTGAAGTTCAGCAAATAGAGAACAAAACTTCAGCTAGTAGAATGCCTAAGTTCAGCAATTACAAACAAAAACTTCAGCCAACACTTGGTTCAGCAATTTTTGCTACTTCAGGCCCGTCTACTAGAATGCTGAAGTTTGCGTGATTGCCTTTGCTACTTCAGGCAAAAACTTCAGCTAAAACATGCTGAAATTCAGCAAATAGAGAACAAAACTTCAGCTAGTAGAATGTTGAAGTTCAGCAATTACAAACAACTTCAGGCCCGTCTACTAGAATGCTGAAGTTTGCGTGATTGCCTTTGCTACTTCAGGCTCGCATGCCTGAAGTTTACGCGAAAAGTGGATACGCTTGCAATTTTTTTTGCAAATCAGGTATAAGTTAAAACGTGACACAAAAAACATGTATAGAGGCAAATCCCCCGCTCAATTCTCTTGTCCATCGAACCAATAAATTAGAATCATCTCATGGAAGAAAAAACAAATTGGTCGATAAAGAGATCAAGAGAGATTAAGGTTTAAATTTGAACTTACCCTAAAAATAATTGGTGATTTTTTTCTCATCTGTCTAAGTTTTGGAGGGCAAAGTTATGATGTACATACGTGGTGAGCAATAGCAGATACTTCATGAAATTGTCGAGATACGTGCAAATTAGTGCAGATACTAAAATTATAGTAATGTTTTGTGGTTTGTCTGTTATCTAGTATTGGATGGATGGGTATAGTCGCTGCTAGCTTGACAAACTTCTTGCATTGTCTCTTTGTATTCTCCTACCAACAAAGAAGAGACTCGATTTTTTACATGTTAAATGTATGTCTCTTTGCGATTTTTTACAAGTCGCTGCTAGTTGCCGACGACAAAAAATAATAGAAATTTCCTCTAAATTTCTAAAACTGTTTGCAACCTTAAAAGTAGGGGAACTCCGATTCTGAAAAGTCAGCAACAGTGTAGCTTCGATTTGAAGAATTATTTACTCGTCAAATCTGAGAGTGAAGCTTTTCAAATTAGCATAAGTAATTGTTAAAACTTTAATATGTCCCTTCTATTTGCTTGTCCTAAATCTAAATTGTCTACTAGTGAGATTTCTATACTTAAAACGTCCAAATTTTTTGGGATTTCCCAATTCTTCAAAATGGTTGGAATTTTTCAAAAAGTTTTAAGTTCAATGTACTAAATGTGTAAAAATATTCACACAATCAGATCACTTATTTAACAATTACGGGTAAATATCATGGTAAGCATTAAGTGATAATTTGGTAAAAATGATAACTAACTAACTATCACCGGTTAAAATTCATTGAGAAAATAAATTTGTCTAACATTATCGGCGTCTCCAACTTAAAAAGTGGATAATCTGAATTTGGGAAGTTGGAAAAAGAAAAATATATAATGATCATCTAAAATGAACGAAGGAATGTGGAATTAACGAATTAAAATGCACTACAACATTCTTGAGAGCCAATCGAAGCAGAAAAAGAAAAAAGAAGGGCTTATCCTGTAAGTAATACAAATAAGAAAAGCTTACAAAAGTATAAGAAGTGTTTTAATATTGACTTCAGGTTTTTCTTTGGCTTGGCCTTTTTGTGTGCAAAACTGCAAATGTTCATTCTGGCTTCGGCTTGGCCAATTTAAAGTCTCTTACATGACTATATAAATATTGTCTCTTCGAAAATAATAACAGTTTAGTTACTAGTACATTTTCTCTGTAACTTGCGATGGATTGCCAATCTACATTTATGAGATTATTTGTGACACAGAAGTCAGAGGGGGTTGATATCCCTACAGGAAGTGCACATGCTAAGAGCCCGATTCTAGAGTAACGACTCTGAGCTCTGTTGTATCTTGATATGAGATAGTGAAATAATGGAGGTGTGCACAAGCTGACTCGAACACTACCGTCATTAAAAAAAAAAAAAAAAAAAAAAAAAAAAAAAAGTGAGGCAACTTGTTCTTGAGCCTCGACCTCCAGCTATACTTGGAACTCCACTCTTCCTTCCTCTAAGATACTTAGCCAAATTGAATTAGGTCTTCCAAGTTCGTATACCAACAGTAGGCAACAACTGCCATTTGGTATTACACTTACTTTCTGAAGATGAGCCCTTCCAGCTCAAGCAAATTAAATTTGAATGACAACGGAATAAAACCAATGATGACAATTATTATTGCCAAGATTTTCAACCCAAAAATAGGAAGGGAAAAAAACATCTAATAGTCTACTACAATGAAGTATGTGGCAGTTGGCACAATGATTACAGGTATTAAGATGAAGAGACGTTTTCAAATCCCATTGAAGTATGATCTTATGTCCAACTCATAGGCAGATGATCTCTTTACTAAGGGTGTATCAGAGAGTAGGTTCTTCCTAATTGTGATGTAGTCATGTAACTATAGTAAGTATACTCCTATCTCATGGCAAAAGAACAAATGAATGAATATATGTCTCGTATTTGTTTTTACTTCATGCAAGAACGCGTATCTTTTTGTACTTGTATATGTAAAGATCTTCAAAGCATAGCTCCATCTGATGTCAAAGGAATTGTATTAGTGCCAATTGACCAAAATCTGGAGTAACAGAACCGTCCCGAAAGCAGGTACTGAGCATTTTAACATCTTTGATAGGCCCCCGAAAAGACTAGAAAATGAAAAGTAATAAGAAACTCAGATTTAAACTTAAAGCTTCAGAATCTTTAGCGATGAAGTGTCATTAGTTCGAAGGAATAGGAATCAGAGGAAAGGAATTGGCAAGAAAAGTATTTCAAGATGGATATATTATGTTCTTGATAGTTTGCATTTGTTCTCTTCCTTTCGTCTTGACAATAGACCCCTAAAATTTCTACTGCTTCTAATTACTAAGAAAAACTTTACACCTAAATCCTAATTCCACACTCTTTGAATAGTAAATGACCTTGAGCTGCACCAATGGGTAAAGCACCGGAAATCATAAGCTTTCTTCCATACTGGAACCAAATGGTGTCTCCTCGTGTTGAGAATTTTGAAGTTGAATATCAGGTACCACCTCGACATCCTTGTCAGGCTTAAGAAGATTACAAAAAGAATCACGATATATAAAGGAAATGAAAAAACTCAGCGATAGGAACCAAATGAAATTCACCAGTACACTCGAGTGAGGAACTTACCTGCCATAGTTGCAAGAGACGCCAGAGCAAAAAATCTACTATCATAACTATGCAAAATATTTTCCCTGCCCAAGTGCCACATGTAAGGTACCTAGCAAAAGCTTGTCAGCAAAACTGACCTGAAAGTTTAATTAACTGGAAGAGACATTTATTCATCTGCAAATTATTAAATAGCTACGGAGCTGACTCAAGTTGGACAATCATTGCTCAATAAACGAGTAAGAGGACAACCCGAAGTCAATGTTCAACTGTCTTAAGTTCTACAAGTTTAAGTATTGAATCTAGTATACATGCTTCCCCAAAGTCTGAGGACACCAGGTGACCAAACAGTCATGTTCAGTTGCCTGAAGGCCTACAAGTTGACATGTAAACTTAGTGTACTCTTTTATGCACAATCTAGGACATCAAAAGGAGGAAAAAAGAATCCAGAAAACTTTATGCTGCAACTCAATTATCTATCTTACTTGAACCACAAATTAGGCCCCAAAAAAACCTCAAAACCGCCGGTTTTCTGCTCAAGTAATTTATTTAAGATTCTATACAATAATGACAAGAGGGTCTTTCACTTCCAAAAGAGAAATAGCATATAATAATTTGATTTTTATCCATTCTCAATTTATTTCTCTAGGGTGATAACATGCATTGACAAACCATTATTTACCTTCACTCCTTAAGTATAGTGGCATACCTTGATAATCGATCCAGCAAAGGTGGATTGGAGCATTTCAAAGCACGGTTGTAAACAATTTCTGTCCTCCTGGCTACATCAGGCCAACTGTAAAGCTTTTTCATCTGGCAGTAGACTGAATGTCAGTAAATAATATGACCGCATACCTTTTAGATATAACAAACTCGTAGAAACTTTATCTCATTACAGTTTAAAACTGTACCCAAACCAACTCCCTGCTATTTTTGTTATCATAAATTCCGCCATAGGGTGAAACCAAAAACAAATCGTGCCCTTTAACTATTATAATTTTTTGTTCACAACTTCAGCACTAAGAAGGTGCTGACAATGCTGTACAGAGGTGAGCAGAAACAGAAAAAAAAACAAAAAAAAACAAATCCCTCTAGTATGCTTAGATGGACTCTATGAGAAATACCTACTACTAGGCACTTTTCATATTATCCTGTCATCACTGCTAAAGAAACCTTGAAATGAATCTAGTGTACTGCAAAATTCAGCAACTCCTGTCATCTCCCTGTCATTTAAACTTCTCCTAAATGTTACCCTCCAAGCCTCATTAAATCTGCAATCAGCTAAGGTGCATCCAGGCACTGTGCCAATGTAAACAGGTCTGGAAACTGATCTTCCAGAGGGCTATATCAAATCCAATTGCCGTGCCAAAAGAAAGTCTTTGTACCGTCGCCAACACAGATGCATGTGTTCTCTAAAGATTCAGGCCAAAGAGATTGTTTAATCCTCAGCTTTCCATTCTTTCTCAGACGTCCTGCGATAAGTCACCCTCTTTTCCTTCCCAAAAAAGAGGAGGTACATTGTTATTTAAGCTTCTAAATGTTTGGAAGTGATGCTGCAGATGCCATGTCTTTTCCCCTCTCTTTTTCTCTTAAACTTCTTAGATGTCTATCAAGTCCAACAGACTTGAAGCTGGTGACTAAAATATTCGTGTGCACCATTGCAACAGCCAACAAGTCCACAAACTGGATTCCTCTTCATAGAGAGTTCCATATAAATCTCATGAACTGTTGCAGATTCTACAGCTCACCATTGACACAACATGAACCTTTCTTTGCAACAGACTCGTACTCCCGCTATTCCTATTTACATGCACTCTTTCCTTTTTATTCTGTTAAAAAAGAATAACACCTTTGTATATTTGGGAAGTCTTTAACCTTAAGCTTCTCATTTTACACCTAATGACATGCTTTTATAGCCACAAAAATGTCATGGAATGTTTTAGACCACAAGTTCTAAAGATGCTTTTGGCATATGGTTATGCCCAGTCAAACACCACCATATAAAATGAAGCAGAGGGAGTAATTACAAGGAGTATATCATTTACTAAGCATGCAAGGTTTTATCAAAGAAGATGAAGAACCTCTGGAAAACCAATTAAAAAACTACTGTCCCAATCAAGCACTGTTTCTTCCTTCTTTTTTATTTGGGGGGGGGGGGGGGGGTAGGGGGGGGGTGGAGGGGATAAATCATTTTTATATATTTCTTTCTTTTCCTTCTTAAAAATAAAAATTGTTTTTTTGGTTTGGGGGTGGGGGGAGGCAGTCAGAATGCTTCTAGCAGACCGCGGGGGGAGGGGAGGGGGAGATTGAATTGGAACCTTTTTTGGATGAAGAGATTGACTTGGAAGATTTCCATGAAAGATTTGGGCTTAACCTCAATTTCCTTCAAATATCACTTATGATTAAAGACTGTTGTTACTTCTTAAGAGAGCAGATACGAAATAGCCCATGCTACCTTGCTAAGGAAAGACGACGAAAAAACAAGCAAAAGGAAATCTGGTACTAACACGATTGTGCATATCTTGTGGATCAATCTGGGGAAGCATATGTATAGCCCTTGTGATTGCGTGCACCATAGTTGTAGGATCTGGCGCCGCCAAAACAACCATATCATCTGGAAGCACCTGAAAGAGAAGAAGTAAAAAAAATGATAAAATAGAAGAACGAACAACTAACAAAGTAGAGGCAAAGAGATAGTAACTAGTCACGTAAAGAGAAATGAATTGTGGACGTGCCTCGGGAACACCTCCTACACGTGTACTGACTGTTAATAATCCGCAACTTGCAGCTTCCAATATAGCTATGCAAAATGCTTCTGTTAAAGAACTGGCACCAGTAATGCAAGAAACAGGAGCATAAACGTATAGGATTAGAAACGGGGAAGGTGGAAACTGACTGTTGGTCAACCACAAATCAGATATACTTAAATATGCTTCAGATGTTATTCTTTTGCTTTCGGAGAAGAATGAATGGTGGAACAGGGAGTATTTGTCAGCAGTTATACATTTATATCGCTGTGAGCAGCGGAAGCTCAAATTATACGAAACTATCTTGTCTGCTAGACTGTATTTGACCTTAGCCAACGAGGTAGCGTAAGAATTCAATATTTTCTTTTTCTTTTGATGATTCTGGAAATAGATTGGAACAAATGAATCTGATTTAGCTAGTCATCTGAGACAAGTTCGAAAGGGCCACATAGCATTCATGGTTTTGATACTTTAGTCTCGCATTTACGACTAAATATAAAAATAATCAACTATGTGAAAAAGTAGATAACACTTGAAGGTCACGTACCTGTTCAAAAATATATGGCCAGTTATTAGTACAGACCGTACTTTAGCATGAGGGACAGCACCCAACATATCAACTCGGTCTTGAAGAGAGTGTTTTTCCCTCATTTCTTCCAAACGCACTCGTTTTGGTCCATCTCCTCCAACAATGAACCGAACCTTAGCAAATGCAGCCAAATCAGTTGCCAAAAGTTCAGAATGCACAAACAAGGTCAAAATCCATAGACTAGTTTCTTTAACGAATCCCATGATGATGATGATGATGGAAAACACTTACATTGGGATGCAAACGACATACTTCAGGGATAACTTCAACAAGTAAATCTGCTCCTTTCCTATAAACTAATCTACTTAACACAACAATAACAATTTCATCCCTGTTGAGTCGCTCAGGAGCAGGCTTAAACATGGCCGTGTCAACAGCATTCGGAATAACATAAACCTTTTCAGGCGGCAAACCAGACCTTAAAACCGTATTCTCTTTGCTTGTATGAGAAACACAGATAGCCTGAGTCACATCAGCTAGTGTAAATTGTAGTACCTTATTCATGTGAATGCTTCCAACATCCGCGAAGCCATAGAGAGAATGATCAGTAAATACAACTTTGTAACCCATGGTACGAGCGTGCATTAGAGCTTCGTGACATAAGGTTGAGAATGCTTGATGTCCATGTACCAGTGATATTTTTTCCCTAATCAGAATTGTCCTAGTAATTGGAAGTGTCCCAAAGAAGGTCGGCAACGTGTTTTGCATGAGAAATGGCTTCCATGGTACATAATAAACTTTCAGGCCATTTGTCATATATCTTACACCAGAACGATTCTGATAAGCATGAGTCATAACTACCACCTGAAATTTACACAAAAGAACAACAAAAAGAATGAATTCATAAAAAGTATCTCATTAACAAAATTAATCCCTTGCTAATAATATTCATTCAAGACCAACTTAAGAGAGGTGAGGTTGCTTGCTGACCTTGTGGCCTTCCTTAATCAAGCATTGTGATAGATAGTATATGTGATTCTCCACACCACCAAAATTGGGGTAGAAAAAATCAGAGACCATTAAGATTCTATGCTTTCCCGGTTCACCCATGATGACAGACCGCTAAAGACACTCCTGCATCAGAGGAAACCATTCACACAACAATGTAAGAAAAAGGGAAAATACATAAGTTGACACCAAAACCTATCTGAAAAAGCCAGTTTCACACTCACACATTACGGGGACCTCTTACCCCCTCACCTATCGGACCCAAAACCAGTCATAAGTTGGGCAGTGAAATACACGTTCCACGCCACTCTCCACGTAACAAAACTTTCAAAAAGGAATTCATAAAACTTCCTTGGGGAGTGGGTAAGTGGGCTCCTTTCACTTGATTGGTTAGTTAGAAGTGATCTTTTTTCTCTTTCATTGGATCATCCTTTAGAAAGGGAATTGGTAATCGAGAAAGGAAATGAGGAAATGAAATCGGAAAGTGAAGAATAACCTGATCAGAGTAGTAAGCCGGAGAGGAGAGTCAAGAGGTTGCAACCGCGACCACGGTGGTAAACCGGTGGTGAGATGGGTAACTCGGACCGGATTAAATCAGTGCTGCATTATAGGCTTTGGATCTGTGTCATAGCTTCCATTTCTTGGGTGAGGTTTTCAACTCACGTTGTTCAGTTGTAAGTTCAATTCTATTTAACAGTACTAACAATACCCAAAGTGAGTACTGGCCTTTTGAGTGACATGGAGTACACATGGGAAATGGGTGTCCGTATATAAATCTATATTTAAAAAAATATTAAGAAACTTCAGATGTATTTAGACAAAATTTGCACATACACTATAGATGAACAATGAATGCAGTTATAATTTGAAGCTATTAACTTAAAATGTTGATTCACTTTTAGTTGCGTTGTAAGATCATGAATCGTGTATTATACGATAATATAATGTATTGTTGAATTTTTACAATCTATGAACATGAAAGACAGCATAAATGTGCAAAGCTAGGGTAAAGTAATTTAATAATTTTGGAGTAGAAATATGGTTCTTACAATTCCACAATGCTTTGCTGCTCAGTAAGGCGAATTGTTCAATATGGTGCTGCATTTGAAATCTTCGAGCCATAAATAGGTCGAATTTTCGATTCCTTTTTGCTCTAGATTCGGGTTGTATCAACTGTGAATTGACTTTTGAATCTGAATTTCTTCAAAGAAGCTCTAAACCGATGGATTTCACCACAAAGGAAGCTCCGACCCGTTTTTGTGCCCCGTTTCCATTTCCCTATGATCTCACCGAAAGCTACGTTGCTATTATAAAGAGTAATTCAGGTGTCAATTTACAGGGACATATCCATTTTTTAGTCTCTTTGCTACTTATAATATTGGGAGAAATTAAAAAATAATCAGATTTATAAGTGGTTCTTCAAAAATAGCCACAATTTAAAGCTAATCAAAATTTAGTTACTTTTCATGTAAAGATAAATGTGAATGAAGATACTGTTCAAAATCCGGAAACATACTCCAATATAATATACTGGAGTTATAGTATAATATATCGGTACCGCATAATATACTGGAGATTGGAGCACCTCCGGTATATTATACTGGAACTTTCCACGTGTTGGAGTTCCAGCATAATATGCTGGAAGTTCATACACAGATGAACCGATCTCCAGTATATTATGCTGGAACTTTCTGTGTTGCAGCAAAATAGTGGCTATTTTTCAATAACTTTGCAAACGCTGGCTATTTTTTGAATAACCAGTCCGAAAACTAGCTAGCCCGTGCTATTTTTACTATAATATTCATCACTTATTTAGGAGATTAGAAAACGATGCAGTGGTGTTTGTTTCTTTGCGATGTTTGGGTCGTTTTAAATGAATTGATTTTTGAATTACAGTGAGAAGATTTTTTGAATTACACTGAGAAGATTTGTATTGTATAGGAAGGGGTGTCAAATGACATCCCTTTGGCGAAAAAAATATATTATATAGGTAGGTAAAAAAAATATTTATATGAATATATACTTTTATATATTTGATACCCTTTAATAAAAATTCTGGCTCCGTCACTGTGGAAAATAAAAAGTGTTCGAATAGAAAGTAGATATTAGAAGATAAATTACTTTATCCTTTGTCAACTTCTATGAAAATCTGCTCTTTTTAATGTATCGAAATATACATCGCTCCACCAATTATGTATTTATACAAATTTTCACTATTTTTTTTTTTTTTTTGGTAAATAAACATTTTATCTATTACCAACTGGGAAGTTTACAGCTGAATCAAAGCATAAACTTCATAGATTATTTACTCTAAGGGACATTTGTTCGAACACAAGTTATGCAGGATTAATAATACAAGAATTAATAATACAAAGATTAGTAATTCATGAATTATAATGTGGGGATTAAAATGTAGAAATTTTATTTTTTATTTTTACTTTTTTAGATAAATTTTTTTAACATATGTATATGATAGAAATTAAGAGTCCACCAAACTATATAGAGAATCAGGTTCTCTATTAGTTCCCACAAAACACACGCACACTGCAGTGAGTAAATGACACAATGGAGTTTTACGTGGAAAACTCCTAGCTCACGGGATTAAAAACCACGACCTACTCTTGTAGGATTTCAACTTCACTACTGAGCAAACTTCGTATTACAACCTATTGTAACCTAGGAATTAACCTCGTAATCCCTCACTAACTTGTAACAATTATATTACAAGCCCCTTTGTAATAACTCTATTACAAAGCTTTACAACTCGACTAACTCTAGCCAAGACACAAACACAAAGGTTTATGATTTACAAAGGTTTCCTACACAATGCTTCTAACTAAGCTAAGTAGGAATTACAAGTAAGTACTTTAACAAAGGTGCAACACAACTAAGGACATGTAATGACTCAATACAGGGAACTGGTTCATTGTTATGTTGTTCTTTGTTGTTCATGCCCTTGAGAATCACTTGAGAGAATGCTTGATGGATTCTTGAATGTGTGTGTGATGTTTTACCTTTGCTTCAATGTTAATATTGCATAGGTGACATCACTTGAATGATGCAAGCATGTTGGTACAAGGGCATTCCCCATAAAGTTGACTGCCGCACTGTTTGCACCATTGCGTGTGCAAGCAGCAACGTTACAGCTGTCGGGGTGTTGACTGGTACAGTCACCAAGGGAACTGGTGACCATCTGTTCCCTCTGTTGTTTCTCTGACTCTGAAGAATTGAACCACGTCCCCAGCTTGAGACTTATCATTTTTAAGTACTTAAGGATGTGTAACGGGTTCCTCATCTGGTTCTTATCATTAAGTTTGTTAGATCATCAAAACATAACAGGGATGCATATAACCTATCAATTTTTCCCTTTTTGATGATGACAAACTTATAATTGAAGTTCCCCCTAAGAACCAGAATGGCATATTCCCCCTGAATCTGTTCCCCATCTTGTTCCCCCTCAATTATTTTCCCCCTTTTGGCATCATAAAAAAGATCAGTAGCTAGTAATAAGCAAAAAGAAGTATAGCTTGGTTAACTCATGCCACATGTGTGCACAGAATCATGACTAAAAACATAGCAGAACAGCAAGGCATACACAGCAAAAGGACAAAACTTTCATTAATTTTTGGAAATTAAGCAGGGAGCAGTTCCATTTTTACCAAAACATCCACAAAATAAAAATAACAAAAAGATACCAGTCATAAACATCATTAGGACTAAAAAGGGAGGACAGACACTAGGAACTTGACACTGGGAAGGGAACAATTTTTAGGGAGTATTCCAAAAGGCCCAGATGAAGGGGCAAGGGTTCTAAGAAGGATGTCCATTCGAGCATTAGTTGTCACCTGCTCGTTGAGCAGTCTCTCCTTCAGGTCCTCAACCTGTTTCCTGAGGTCAGCATTTTCCTTTGTCAGACGGGCAACCTCTGTGCTTTGAGAGCTGCTGGAACCAGGTGCCTCCTGAACCTGACTGAGCTGACCTTCGAGAATAGCCTTCCTTGCCTTCGGCTTCCTTATCTATTCAGTGGCACTGTTCTGAGCGTTGATCAGCTGAGAGATAGTAGAATTGCTGTCAACCCCTCCACTCCTATCAATGCATCCACACTCCTCGAGGGTGGTCTTGGAGAAGGTTTGTTTACGAGTACCCACTTTAGCTTTTCCCGAAGGGACTTTGAAGAATTCAAAAACCTTAGTGAGGAGGAACCCGTAAGGCAGCCCATGATTACCATCCTTGAACTCTGCCACTTTCTTCATGTGCTCTATCATTAGACCAGGCAGGTTTATAGTGGTGTAACCATCCAGTGCTTCCATGAGAACTAAATCTGCTCGTAACGTAATGGATCGTCTTTCTGCGCATGGGAGCAGAACTTTGTTTACCATCTCAAACAGCAGTTGGTACACTGGAAGGAGGGCCTTCTTATGTACCTGTTCCCTTTGCTGTAGTGCCTTATCCTTCACGATGGCATTTCTGAAGTTCGAAGGGCAAGTTCCCTCAATGGAGGACATTCCGTCAGTAGGCACACCCAAAATGGTTCCCAGAACATAAGTATCCATCACAAAATCAACACCATTCACCTTTAGGCAGATGTTATCATCCTCAACTGTGAAGAAGTCAGCATAGAAATTACGCACTTCTGCCTCATACACATTGGGACTGTCACTTGTGAACAAATGGGTCCACTGCTGGAACTCACATATATCAGCCAGTTGGTGTGTTCCTGACATGTCAAGAATATCAGGGGGAAATGTGCGGCCCCATAACACGTTTTGGTTTCTCAAATTTTCCCTTCCAACATCCTGGGTTGCACCAACCTTGGCCTTCTTTGAGGAACCAGGTTCCTCACTGGCACCAGCCTTCCTTTTCACTGATTTCCTCACACTCTTTCCTTTGTCTGCCGATTTCTTGGACACCTTCTCGGCAGACTCCTCTGCCACTCCTTCACCAGATCCTTCAATCACTCTTTCATCGGATTTTTCAACTACTTTCTCACCAGATTTTTCACCCTCAATATTGCTCAAATCCATCTCATTTACAGATGACTCCTTTTTGGACTTTAGAACAGTAAGTTTCTTTGAGGACTTACGAACCAAGGAACCAGGTTCCTTTTCTACCTCATCATCAACATCAACAACAAGTGCAGGAGGCACTACCTTCTCAGTTACAACCTTTCCATATTTCACCAATCTCCTATTCTTCTTTTCTTCTTTGTTTTTCTTTATAAACAGATTCAAGTTCTTCTTTCTTCTGCAACCTAGTGATAGGTCTCTTAGGAGTTGATTCCTAGGGAGTTACCTTTCTACTCCTAGCACTAATGAAGCTCGTAAGAGCCACATTATCATAATCTCTTCTTCATTATCCTCATTCCCCTCCTTAGACAGAGATCACATCTCAGGAACAACAATTGATAATGGCTCAGCATAGAAATGAGGAGAGCGAGCGGGATCAGCACTGAACTGCGGTTCTTGTGGAGAACCAGGGGTTTTATCCCAAGTAGAAGCAGAGGGCTCTTCTTGGGCGGAGGGATAAGGTCCCTAAGTTGGTTCCCCAGTAGTACTGTCAGGTGCCAAGGTTTCGACAGGCACCAGTTCCCTACCCTCTACCTCAGTACCATTATCTTTCCCCTGAGACCTATGGGTTTCAGACACACCCTCATAACCTCCAAGCAGACTTCCCTCAGTAGCTATTGACAATATATTTTTTATATCCTCATGTTCTTGTAACTCCAAAGTAACTTCAGAAGGCATAAGAAGAGCATTACCTATAGAATCAAGGCATGGGGTTGTGATTGCCGATTCATCACTGTTATGATCCACACCCTGTTCTTTGGTAGAACGTTCTTTCACTGGTAGACTAGAAGTTTCTTCTCCCTCCACTGTATCTTCTTCGACCATTTTTTCCGGTGAGGCAGAAGGAGAGGTCGCAGCCACAAATTTTGTGGGAGTCAAAGTTTTGCGACTCCGATAAGAACCAGTACTCGACTGGGTTGGAGAGGAAACAGGGGGTAGTTGTGACTCTAACTTAGAGTTTGGACTAGTCGGAGTAGAGAGTGTAGGTTCTATCACTAGTGCTTCAACGGGTGAAGACGCAGTGGGGACGATGCTTGGAACATTGTTTCCTGATTTCAGACATAGTGGAGTGTAGTGAGAACTGATGGAAGAAGAGAGTGTTTGGTTTGAAGAAAAAGGGTATTTTTGGCTTGTGATTTGAACAATTATGAAAGTGACCGTGAGAGGATTTATTTAAGAGGGGTGAGGGACCGGTAAGGAACGGGTATCAATTTTGGTAGTCGGGTCGCTTCATAACGGGTGAGACGTTTGGGTTCAAAAAGCGAGAAAG